ATATATATATATATATATATATATGCTAAAAACCTATTAGCCAGTTACCAGTATAACACACTAATATGAAAAATCATCTAAACCTCCCAAATTCTTTTGTTGAACACCATTCCTTAAAACTAGCAGTATCTTTTCCTTACACACCTTCTTGCCAAAACGTACTTTGAGCAGATCAGTAGATGGTAGAGCATGATTAGCCATCTGAGTAAAGGTATTCTGAATTATTTGAACAGTAATATAAATTGCAATAAAACTGTATTTTCAGTGCCGTTTTCAAAGTAGATAAAGCAGTAGTGAACCCATAATGTGAGCCAAATACGATGGCAGCCTAAAAGTTTTAAGAATTCTCAGTTCTAGTTCATCATAAAAAGTAGAAGAAAGTTGTTATACTTTTCCTTTACTTGTTTTTCCTTAAAATATTAGTTTTACATTTTCTTTAAGAAGACCCCTTTTTTAAAACTAGAGTGGGTATCCTTGATATTTAATTATTATTTTGAAATGCACTGTGATGCAGTCATAAGAGTGAGAGTTAAGAGCAGAGGGTTCTCATTTCTGCACATTCAGGTTTATAACCCTGGACAAGTAACTGTAGAATGAAGGAAATAAATTGTTATCCAGTCTGTAAGATTTCTTTCTGCTATAATCTGTGATTCCAGTATAGAACACTGTAAGATTTAGAAAATTTATGGAACTCTTTTGAGTTCAAGTATTTCTTAACCTCTTCCCTTCTTCCTTCAAAATGAAGCACTCTTTTGTTTGTCACACAGTGCTGCTGGAGATGAACAACAATGCAGTTTTTGTTTTCAGTTTTCCTTTTATGTGTTATAGTCTTTACAGTCAAGATCTCTTGGTAAGTACATTGTGTAGAATTATTCATTTTGGCCCATAAACTTAATCTTTCATTTATTGTTTTATTTCAGAATAATACATAGATAATCTTAGGTCAATAAAGTTTTTTTTTCCAAGGCTTATAATAAAAAATAGTACTCTACTATTCTTTTTATATCACCTCTTGCTACTGAGAGGTTACAACTTTCAAATCTCATAGCCATTTTTTCTATGTATCTGTTTACAAGTAACATGATTATTATGTTATTTCTTGATACTTTGTTTTCAGATTTTACCAGTCTGTTGGACTTTGAAGCTTAAGCTCTATTGCTTTTAACTCCCCTAAGCACATACCTTCTGCATCCTCCCAGTCAGTGCTGTAACAGCATACCATTTTGTCAAGTTAGCACTCAGTATTACACTATATGTTTTAACACTCAATATTTACACTATATAGTATTTTGACTATGTAAATACTATTCACACTTGGGGTATGTGGTATCTGTTCTCATTATATATCCTCTTTTTGATCTGATTTGTTTTAATTTTTTTGGAATTAATATTTTTACCTTAGTAATTTTATTTGCTCAGTGTTCTATATAGCAGATATTTAACTTATATCCTATTCTCCAGAAGAGTAAATCTCTTCTCAGTAGGTTCAAATGCATCATATAATCTTTTTTTTCTTTCTTTTTTCCTTTAAAGACATTCCTGCTGGAACTCTGTTCTATGCCAATCTGGATGGTTGCTCTTCACCTGTCATGCTGGATATCCCATTTCCTGAATCCTGTCTTCTTTCAATTTATTTCCTCGTTTTGGTGGCCTTCCTCTTCCAACAGCTTCCTGTGAAAGAATGCATGAACAGTAAATTGTTTCGATTCATTGGCGTAACTCAGCATGGCTCAGTTCTGTCCACATACTTGATTGAGACATTATGTGTGTTGGAAATCATTGTCCTGAATTTTCAGCATTACATCTGCACCTTCCAACTTGAAGCTACTGACAAGTCATTTGTCATACTGATTCTTGATACTTACGTATGTCCTGTTTTTTTCTCTTTAGAAGGTATGAGGATCTGATCTTCATTCCTGGCATTCTGAAATTTCTTGATGTGTCAAGGATGGATCTTTTTTTTGTGCATTGAATTCATTTTTGGTGAACTGTTTCAGAAGTGAAGGAAATTCATGTCAGTCAGTTCTGGAAAGTTTTTAAATATTTCTTTTCCTAGATAAGTTTCTTCCCTCTATTTTTTTCTCTTTTTTTTTTTCTGAAGCAACTTTTATTAAAAGGTACTGATACTTAACCTGATTTTTAATTTTATTATTATCTTCTCTATTTTTCATCACTTTCATGTATTTTCTCAATATTCTCTTCCAGTTCTTCCAATGATTTAAAAAATTTTTCTTACGATGATATAAGAAGATATTTTAACATCCAAAAGACCTTTTATTTTTTATCCTCTGACTATTGTCTTTTAAAAATAGCATTACGTTCTGGTGTCTGTAGGGCAATGGCTCCACGCTAGTGTCCACATGACCTTGCCTGTATCCTCGTAGGCCATGCAGGCAGAGCTTGAACCTCTGACTGGCCTACATATGGTGCAACAACTTTAGAGCCTCCCAGGCAATCTTTTGAGGAGCCAGCAAGAACATTTTCTCTGCCTCTCTTGAGCGAGGCTCCCTATCGTGTAGAAGGTTGCCTTGAGGGAGTTTTCCTATCTGCTTTCCTGGTTCAAGACAGGAGAAAATTTCTGTCTTGCCCCACTTAGGGCACAGCTGTGAGCTATAAAATTCCTTAGCTGAAGCATGACATTACCTCTTCAGCAACCTTGTCCCTTTTACCTTGATGTCAACCTGCCCAAGGGCTGTTGGGACTTGGCACCTTGATTACTGTTTTTTTTCACTGTATATGTAAGTCATAAGCTGCGTGAATCTAAAAAGAGCTCATTGTTTTTCATTACTGGCTATTTTTTGCCAGGTCTTGCTGGCTCTTGCCTTGGTTTTGGGTTTGACAGTTGAATGTAACATTTTACCTCTCTGAGGATGTTAATTTTAGTTGTTTTCAAAAAGCAGAAGAAAAACTTCTATTTCCTTCAAGTTACTTTTTTTCTTGTTTTGCTCTCTATAAGATGTTTTCTCAAATTCCCTTAAATCTTTGGTGATGTCTAGTTGTTTTCATGTATAACACTAAGACACTGAAAAGCTGATTGGGAGCTCCATTTTATGGATGAAGCTCTTTAGTGGGCAGGATTCACTTTTGGGCGACTTGAGGATATTCACAGTTTACTCTGAAGACTTTTTACTGAATCTCCCTGTTTCAACAGACTAACCCTGCTCCTAAGTGCTTGGTATGCCTGCATTTAGAATCTCATGCTTCAGCTTTGCTAGAGTTTCTGTGGAATTGGTGGGTGGAAGGGTTGCCTGTTTGTGAGGATACCCACTTTCATGTTGTATTCCCTGCGCTCTGTCTGCAGTGGAACTTGCGATCTTCACTGCTGAGCTTCCCTTGGATTTGTGTTTTCAAGTTACTTCTTAGTTTCACCTCTCTACAAGTCTTGAAGTTGCAGCCTTCATCTGCTAAATCAATCCCACTTGTCTGTGCTCCAGCTTCCAAAATTTTCTTGACCCATCTCTGTCTTCTTTTTCACTAAGTGGGTTAGTCCTTTTAATCTCTTTACTTGTCATTTTAGTGGACTTTCATAAGGGGGTAGTGTCAAATATGGTGGTTAGTATACTTTAAGCAGATGTTAACTTGATTTTCTAATCTGTTTTTGCTTTTGTCAGTTTAATTTTTTTTGCTAAATCCAAGTGTAGATTAATGTAGAATCTTCATTGATTATTAGTGGAAAGGTATGAGAAAGAGAATAGACAAGGGGGACAGCAGATAAGAATCAGCTATACCTGCGGCTGGCAAGGACAGTGTTGCTTAAATGTGGCCATGTTTTTTTTTATTCCTTTCATTCCGGTACTTTTTACTAGAATATGTTGGTGTTAATTC